CCAGAGAACTTCCCCCCCCCCCTCCTTCCTCTTCTCATACTGTTTCTCGCGCGCGCGCGCGATTTTACCCGCGCCTTCTTCCGTACAACTATATCACTGTCGGTAGCGTTCTGCCTCGAGTATTATTAGTCTTTGGAGTTAGGGAGTACGCATGGACTCGAATCTCCAGGCTCGCTCGCATGGTTAACTTCCGCAAACAGAAATTACCATTTTATTGGGTGAGTTCTGGCACCCTCTTACCGCGCCGGCCCCTCGGCTGCCCTACCGCCCTCGCCAGCCCTTCCGCGCTTCAGCGGCCCCTCTGCCCTTTCCTCTCCTTCCGCACCCCCGCCGCCGCCGCCGCACTTCACAGCAGCCCCTAACGCGACGATTGGAATACCTAATCGTCCGGGGACCATTCAGCACCATTGTTCCATCGACTTGCCGTTGTTGGTGCCTGTTAACGCCGAATCCTTTCACGCCCTGGCGCTGCCCCCCTCTGGCCGCCGCTTTTTCGCCACCCTCGAAAAAGATGATCGGCTTGCACACGTACGCTGTCACGTTTGCTCGCGCAAACGGAATTTCCGAGCGGCATTTGCATCGAATCCGCCGCGATAAATTCCCAGCCGGGGGAATGTATGGACAGACCGAAGTAAAAGGCCCATCTGATTGGTCGCGCTTGTACGACGGGCCCCCCGATCGATGGACGCGAGAATATCGGACGTGGTAGAAACTTATACGGCGACGTCGACGCGCAATCGTTTCTACTTTTTTTCTCGGCATTTCTTTTCTCCAAAATACGATAAAAGTGCTGAATGCGCGACAGCCGATTAGATAGATTCTGTCTCGAAGGGATTCGCGTGTAACTTTCCTTCCTTCGTAAATGTTTCATTTCGATTATTCCGCGGATCTTTTTAGGGCTGAAAACACCAAGAATCCTACATTCCTACCTTTCCTTCAGTTCTCCTTTTTCCCTGCCAATTCTTGGCCGTTCTAGCGTTAACGGATTTTTCGTGTTCCGATAAATCTTCGGGTTTTAATTAAACTCGAAGCGAAAGGCGAGCCGATGGCCTTCCTACCGGCTGCAACTCTCTCTCTCTCTCTCTCTCTTTCTCTCTCCCCCACTTTCTCCATCTTCTCGCGAAAATGAATTAAGACTTAATTAAAGTCGTTCTTTGATATGTTAATTCTATCGCAAATATGTGTTACTTCCTGCGGAGGGATTAAAATTTCCACGGTGTGTATTTCACCCCGATTAGACAGTCATTGCTGCCGGCGTACGAAAAATGCAATCTGCTTAATGGGAATCAGCCGCAAAGTACGAGACCAAATTACTCGGACGATAGAAGTAGTTATAATTAGCTCACGGTAAAGTAAAAGCGCTGAAGGCTGATGACTTTTCGAAACACTCTTCAACGGAAGCATAATTGAACGTAGAAAGGTGCTGTTCCTCCTACAATTTTTCGCGTTCTACGATTTAAGAAAACATCGATATGAGATTATTATATAAATCTTTTTTTGTATCGGGAGTTGAAGATTAAGCTTCATTATTCTCGCTTTCAGGTGTAAAGCATATGTCGGATTCAAGGAGAGGGAAACATCTACGATGACGAGGTAGTAAAAGGCCCCCTTCCACTTTAATTATCATCGTTTGTATTTTTATTTCAATAAAGGAGGCCCTGTTCAAACAATACGGTACGATTAAATATGTACATCAAATTTTATTCTGTCATGAGCGGGTATATATACAAATAGACGTCCGGGAAACTGACTGACTACGTTTCTTCATTCTTCTCTACGAGTCCTCGCGTCTGCGGACCGCGGAGGCTGCTCCGGTATCGCTCGCGAACGAATCTAGTGTAGGCACTCGCGAGATACGCAAAATCGTCGGGCGCTACTTGTCCCAAAATCGAGTTGCAGAAAGAAAAGATACTTGAAAAATTGACTACTTATTATATAAATAAAAATTTTTAAGAGAAATGCTTGCACAGTAAAAAATGTTGTACACGTGCTAAAATCGACCTTTGTTAACATTTTTGTGTTAAATTTTTAACATATTTGTGTTAATTTAACATATTGTATTTACGTTATCTCGATATATATATATATATGTATTTTTTGCATTAAGTCGATATTCATTATATGTAAGTGTTGAAATAATACATTTTACACTTCAGTATCAATTTGTTAATTAATATATTACGGATATTAATTTTCTGTTCATTTTTGACCATATAATATTTATATTATTTTTAAACATATTCATTTTATGTTAAATTAATTTTTGTGTAAACCGTTTGTAAAATATATTAAATTTAACACAGATTTTTTACTGTGTGTTTAGAGAAAAATATGTATACCTCAAAGATGGGAAATAAAATAAAATCACGAAACGTATTACAGTCTCATCGAGAAAAATAATACTACCAGCAAGGAAATTGATAAATGTTAAAAAAGTTTTACATTTTGAAGATCGGCCACTGAACCTCTCGCGATTTTGCGTATCGCGAATCGCGAGTCACACATCAACGCGTGCGGTGAATCCTCCTCCGCGCTCTCCGGAATTTACATTACCGTGACGGCAATCTAAATAATATGCACAATCCTTCGCCTTAACATATTAATACTGCAGAATATTGTTTTATGTCAAAATCCGCTTTTTTACTTCTTCCTCGCCTCCGTGTGTCCTTCGTTCTATATTCTACAAGAGATATTTCGCTAGTTCTCCCACCGACGCAACAATCGCTGCCGTCGGCGCTCCACGATCGTCCCCGGGGACCGACGGACGTTTTTGTTTCCGGCTTAACGGCTTCTCACATCTGACCGGGGCTGGTCAAAACGCGTAATCTGCTACGAACGTAGAACGCAACTTACCTCGATTATCGCAAGGAGAGATGTTCGGCCGACGAGCGCAAATCGGAGACACACTCCGCGACGGAACCGTTATATTCAACTCGATCGGAACGCATCGTATCGGGTTTATAGATATCTTTTTTTTTCAAGGTACATCGTCGTTTATCAAACAACAGCGCATCCTCTTTTCACTTGTCATTCCGCTCGGATATCGTCGTCGCTCGAGACACTTAGAACTTGATGCGAATGCAGGCATGTTCGTCATGAACCAACCGATGCTGCTCGTTGCGAATTCGTATCGAAACAATCGCTTTTCTGCTCCTCCGTCGTTTGTCCTTCAACGGCAATAAACGGCACACAAACGTGGAGCACAAATTCGAACGAAGGAGGAAGAGCCGATCGAGTTTCCGTTCGCGTTTACCGCGGCGGTTTTCGAAATTGTTTCTTCTCTCTCTCTCTCTCTCTCTCTCTCTCTCTCTACATGCAGAATGTCTAAACTATCACTTTATACGCGACCTAGATAGATGAGCGATAAAAAGTGACAGCGCCGGAATATTTCGTTAATTCTCCTACGTGGAGTTTACGTACCAAGTGATAATTTAAATATCCCATACGTAGATCAACGCTAATTTATCGATCCGTTTAACATCCGTTCGCATATTTAATGGCCGTGAAGTGATACGATTACTTTATGAAAGGTTTCGCGTCGGCTAGTTCTATTATCACTGAATTATCGTACAACGCCGGGTGTGTGTGTGTGTGGGTGTGCGTGTGTGTGTGTGTGTGTGTACGCGCGCGTGTGTGCATGTGTATACACACGGAATACACCGCATGTGCCGCATTTGTATTTCATAGTTTCACAATCACACATATTAATGAATTCGTTAACGGGCGAGGTAGGGACGGGGAGGAGGGGCTAGAAACAAGTTTAAATTGACTGTCATTGTGTTTCGCGGCGATTGATGTACATCAGCGCGATACTCGCTTTATAAAATTAGGCAATGTTTACCTCTGTCCAGCAACGACAACGAAATCACACGTGCGTTATAATTCCCAATCTCAGCGATCCAATATTCAAGCGCTTCGAAAGTAATTCGCTCGGGGAGAACCGAAGAGGACGGCTGGGAGGGGATGAACGTTTTCTCTTTTCGCTCTTAAGGACGCTCTTTTCTCCTTCCTTCTTTTTTCCATTTTTTTTTAGAAAATAACTCGGAATACGAGCAATCACGATGAGAGAGCGGTAAGTTGCGGTGATAACGATTAAAAATTAATCGGTTCTGTCTTCATCGTACGCCCACCTCGCTCGACGCGACAAGTTTCGCGCGACGTAATCATTCCGCTTCGTCTATTGCACAATACCGGCTTAGAGCCAAGCCCCGAGCGCGCGCAATTATTCGACGCGCACTGTCGCGCGCGACCCGCGCTCAGGAATGCTTCTTTCTCGCCGGTCAACGTGAACGTGAGCTTGAATCTATATCGGGCCCGCTATTCCAGTGACTACCGTCGTTCAATGATATCAAAAGCACCGGAACAACGCGACTACGTCCGAAGGGGAAACGGTCGTTGAGACTCGCGAACGTCTTATTTTCTCTCTCTCTCTCTCTCTTTCCTTTTTGCCTATTCACAAATTTGACCATGTTATTTGTACGGCGCTACCTCGAAAGCGAAAGACTCGATTTTTCCCCGACGTCGGAACTCTACCACGAGTGTGCACCTCAACGAGTTAGCCCACAACATTCGGCACTCCCAACCATGAACACATGCTCATCGATCATAGGTGCACCTGCATCGATTGTCTCTACAATCGTCGTCCAAGACGACACCCGCCGATCGTCGGATCGCGACACATTACGTCCTCGCGTCATCACCACCACCTGACGAATCGTCCCTTTGGTAACTATCGACGACGAGCGTGAGAGATTTTCCTCTCGCGCTTCCACCTCGCAATCGTCGGGACCATTCGCCGCGCGTTCGACGATCACCCTCTTCCCCCGTGAAGCGTCCCTGCGTCCAGCACCTTCGTCGGTGGATTCGGTTTCGCGACCCGTCGCCGGATAAACTGCATCCATTTCCCCTGCTTCTCTCTCTTTCCTCCTTTCTCTCTCTCTCTCTCGCTCGCTCTCGTCGGTCGACATGCCGCTGCTCCTCCTTCTCGATAGTGACTCTTCAGGATCGAGAAGTGTCCGGGCGAAGAGCTGCTTTCGCTTCCCCTCGTCACGCCGTCGCTGGCGCGGCCAGGCCGCGGTGGCTGACAGCGGTGCGCGCCCTTAGCGAATCTTCGGTTAACCTTCAGACCATCTGCAGACCTTTGGTGATGCTCTCGACGTGCTCCTTGGCCCGCATCCTGAGCGCCTGGATGCTCGTCGTGCGAGGATCGTGCCCCGGCGGACTCGGCGGCGGTGGTTGCACGTGGCCGCCGGCGGTTATGCTCGCCATGCTGCTGGCCAGGGACCCTGCGAACAGCGCGATTTCTACGTGTCGTTGTGGGCATGTACGACGACGACGACGATGACGACGACGATAGTGACGGCGACGACTATGACAATGGCGAGCGTGATCATGCTAATCGACTCGTTAATCCGCCCTCGCAACGTGAGAGAGTGCTGTACACACCCGTGGATTCAGGAGTACCATAAGTTCGAACGAAGGAGGAAGAATCGATCGACATTCCGTTCGCGTTCACCGCGTTGATTTTTCGGAACCGTCCTCTCTCTCTCTCTCTCTCTCTCTATCTTTTTCGCTTTTATTTTTCTTCTTCTTGTGGAACGTCTAAAGCATCATTTTATACGCGATTTATCAGGGATACCTGTAAGTAATGTCGCTTTTTGATACTTGTGCAAAATTTCATTTTATTTAACACTTAGTTCTTCCAAAATTTTACAATAGGCACATTAAATGTCAGTAAATTTAATTAATATATAGATTATGGTAATAATAAATCACGTTCACGAACAAGGTGGCGATGTTTATTCAATCTGAGAAAAACGATATTACTTATAGGTACCCCTAATAGATGAATGAGCGATTTCGTTGGTCTCTCTCTCTTTCTCTCTCTCCCTTTCTCTCTCTCTCTCTCTCTCTCTCTGTCTCTATATAGTTTACACGCGTGTCACGTGATAAATTAAACATTCCATGTACTAACGTATATATTAAATATCTTAAATTTTAATTATTCCAGCTACTGTGTGACGTAAACTTTTCTCGATGGAAAGTGATTCTTATTTCACGGTGTGCATATTGCGATCCCGTGTCTCCGCTCGAATTTAATTTGCATGTCAAGCGTGTCGGGGGCCTCCTTTTGTGAATCGAACACATCGGAACGGAGGAACGCGCGCCGGAACCGATAGTTTTTCGCTCGAAATTTAATTCGGATATACGAAAATGCGTATCGAAAGCCCCCCCTCCTCCCCCTCCCCCCCTTTTAAATCGGACACATTAGACCGGAGAGAAGCGAGAGATGCGCCCGGAGACGATCGTTACCTGGAACGGGATTAGCCACGGCGCCGACATTCGGTGGCGACGGTAATCGTCTGGGAGACGTTAGATAACTGGGGTATCCTGTGTGAGGTGCTGCCAGGAAGCCGGGTAGCGCGCTCAGCAATCCTGGCGGCGCAAGCCACGGGTCCCCTGGTAGACCCAGCGCCGGACCGGCGACGTTTCTGAAAATCGGGAAAACTCTGCGATGTAGCCACGTCGCTTCGTTACACACACACATGAACCGTATTATAAAGCTGGTTCTTGGAAATCAATGAAATGTACGAAATTAAAGCGCGTCTAATAATACAGCCAGAGACTGGATCTAAACACGAACCTCATATTGGCGGCATGATGATACTCGCTCAAGCCCAGTCTCGCGGCCTCCATCTTTTCCTGCCTGCGCCACTTGGCTCGTCTATTTTGAAACCAAACCTGCAACACAACGTGTGACAACAATTTTCTGTTAATCGATCGGAATGATATACAGAAAAACGTAAACGACGGCGACAACGACGGCAATGACGCAAACATGGATTTGCTTTGAGCGCGAACTCACGGGCGCACTTCACGGGCGCGTAATAAATTCCATTGCCCTTCCTTTGCCTTTTGCCGATAAGTGTGATAATATTAACCATGTTTAACATTTTGCAAGCTTAATTTCGCAAGATTCATTAAGCTCGCTACGGCGTTTGGCCCGACGTGGATCGGAAACAATGGCAGCGCAAACTCTCATTAGCCGCCGAGACGCGATAATGGTAACGTGTCACTACCGTGTACTTGAGGAAAAGGGCGCCCTCCTTTCTTCTCATTCTTCCCACCCTGCTCCCCCCCCCCTCCCCTCCTATAGTCTTCGCAACAGGCTCGAGATTCATCGCTTTTGAGCCGGACTAAGTATTCGATCTTCGTTACGCTATTACTGCAAGACCTCTTTGCGTTGTACTATTGTAATTACAGTCTCTCGAGATTAAGTGACATCGAGCGCGTTCCTCGATTAAAAAAATAAACAGTTAAATTATTCGAGTTATTACCTAACTAACTATGATCGATTCGACAATTTTCCAACGAGACGACATTCTGAAAGGTGACGATGCAACGAGAGAATATAAAAAATATTCAGCTTTGAGAGAAATTAATTAATTTATTCATTTATGTATTTATTTATTTATTTACGGAATGTGTCCTTTTGGATTACAATGCTCTTAAGACACGAAAAATTATAATACATAAACGAACACACCGAAAATAGACAAATAGTGTAAAATACGAAAAAAAAGAAACAAGTATAAGAAATATAATAATGCGCTAGTTTAAGCAGAGTCTGATTTGAGGTCTAACCAATAATAGGACTTTCAAAGGAATAGAGTGATATATGATAAAGATCAGTGGTATCATTAAGATTACTAACAGGTGAAGAAAGCTAAATCAGCCAATTTCAATTATACTAATTGATCGATTAAATGAAAAATTCCAGGTAGTAAATTTTGCCGCTCAGCCTGCGTTCGTCTTCTGTCAGCACGAAACTCGAATAATTGTCGCGTATGTACGCTCGTAATCAGCCATCAGAAATTTCCAGTCTGCCTCGACATCAGAAACGTAACTGCAATTGGCCCGACGGATTTCTCCCGACAAATATACCGCTGCGTCGCCGTGCATCCGAAGTTGACATTGGTACTTCCGGTCGAGTTAGACGAGTTTCACCCTAAGAAGGGTGGCTGCACGATTTCAACCCTCCTCTCCTTTCTCCCTCCCGCCACGCGAAAGAGCGGTCAACTGCGAAAATCTAACCGCGAGAAATCAACCGGAGTGCGCAGGACGTAGGCAGGAGTAAGTCAGAAAAAGTGAATGTAAGAAAAAGGGCGAGCAAAAAGAGAGAGAGAGAGAGAGAGGGGGGGGGGGA